TTGTTCTTTCTGTGCTTTTGTTTGGTTTTTCGTGGAAGTAGATGCCTGGGAACTTCTAGACCCTCTTCTACTTCCATACCGTCTGAATCCGCAGATTCAGAAATCATTCGTCAAGAGAGCTATTGCTGGACTTCTATTTTTATTTATTTTTGTGACTTTCAGTTTTGGTTTACTTTGAATGACTTTTCTTTTTTTTTTTTTTTTTTTTTTTTTTGTATTAAATGAGTTGCATTTTCCGTTTTCTTGGTGGATGTAGTCGGTTGGGTTTTATTTGGTTTAGTCTGCGTGCCTATTGATGTTTGGGTGGCAATGCTACGTGTTGTTTTAACTGCACTGGCATAAGATTTGTTTGATTGGAGCTGTGTGCTTTGAACTAGTTTTCTGGCTTCAGCATACGAGATGTTCCTGGTAACTTTAAGAGTCTGTACTTCTTTTTCGGATTTCCATTTTGGGCACAGGCGTGAGAATGCTGGGTGCTGACCCTTGCAATTTATACACGAAGGCGCAGCGGTACAATTTTCAGAATCGTGGCCAATCTGTGAGCATCGGGCGCATGTGAGGCTGCCACGACAAGACATCTTAGAATGGCCGAAACGCTGGCATTGGGAAACATCGCATAGGGTTAGGAATATAAGGTCTTACAGGAAGATTTAGATATCCAGCCTTAATATTCTTAGGCAGATCAGGCGTGTTGAAGGTAAGGATCACGTGTTTTGTATCGATCAACTTACCTTCCTTTCGCATCTTGATCCGCCTAGCACCACAGACATTTTGGTCAGCTAACTCGGAGACGAACTCTTCTTCAGAAACACACAGAAGGTCGAATTCCGAGATCACACCTCGACAAAATTCAGTTTTGTGCACTGACACAGTTATAGATATTTCTCCAAATTTGGTTTTGTCGGGAAAGAGGAGCAGACTGGGTGGCCGACATGGTATCAATAAGCAGGTCTCCGAGCGGAGACGCTTTATGTTTCCTTGGCTCACCTAATACATGAATGTATATATTTGTTTACGAGAAAAGGAGACATCTTTTGCAGTTCACCAGAAGGACTAGAGATAACAAGGAAGCGTGGACAATCAGTAGATTCTTTGGCATTTGCATCGGTTCGGATCTTCTTTGTATTGGATTTATCAATAATTTCAGTATCTTTGTCATTTGCATCTGTACGGATCTTCTTGTTGATGGATTTGTCTACTATTTCGATATCTTTATTGGTTTCATTCGACTCGGGTTTTTTAAGGATAAAGAGAGAAGCCATGATTGAAAGATATAAAATTCGGGTCCGACGGCCCCGCCCACCACGGAGCCCAACAAGGGAACACAGATTCCTGTGTTAGGGCTAGCCGGACCTATACGCAAACTGAAGCCCCACAGTCGGCTTTCCCGAAAGCAGGTACTCCCGAGAGCTTGACCCCAAGCCACTGACACAAGGACTAGTGACCAGCCGATTGACACCCGTGAGGACGACTAAGGTGCCTCCCGTTTAGCTGAAGCAGAGGCCAAAGCAGTGTGTTGGGGACAGTACCTCGCCCCTCAACTACCAGGACCCTCCTTTCCAGCGACACGGGTCTCCACGCACGGCAAACACGTGGGCAGTTTTTTCTCGCCACTCGAAAACTAGATGCAAGGACTGCTTCCAGTCTCTCGTGACGAGCCCCAAACTCCGTAGAGAGAAACCACGAGGGAGAAGGGAAGGGAAAAAGTACCAGCCAAGAGGAGAGGAGACGAAAAGAGGATAGATCACTGGGGCTCCAGGATTGTGACACCCGTCTCACCAAGAAGATCATCCCCTGAAGGGCTAGGGTACCTCGGGATTGCCACACCCGTACTCACAAAAGTGAGCCCCCTGAGGGCCCACGTAACTTTAACGAATTTGGTAAGTATCAGTGCTTTGATGGCAGAAGGGATAAATTGCATGTTTTTCTAAAAGTAACTTTCATGTTAGGAAAGTACAACATTTAAAATATTTTAAAAAAGCCAAAAATTTGATAGTTAAAACTGATGCTTTTAATATTACATCACATGAGTCTTGATATTTTTTCATATGTCAACTCTGCATATTATAAACTCCATCCCCCCACCCCCAAAGAAAAAAGCACACTTTTAGTAGCATGAAGTAAACTCTTGGTGTTTCCTTTGCTAAGGAACCACATGGAAATTTAGACTACTTAGTTTCTTAAAATGGACAATGATCAAATTACCATGGTCTAAAAATACTTTTTTGCCTCATTTCTTAAATTAGAACTATAGGGATGTATAATTGCATGAATTCATAGGCCAAAATTAGGTTTCATTATTGCTTTTATAACATTTTTATAATTTGTCTGACTATAAAAAATATAATGTTGCTTAGATTATGGAATATATTGCTTATAATTTACAGTTCTCAAATTTTATAAATCTCACAATCTAATAGCTGCATATGAATAACCTTCACTGAGTATTATCACTTTTATTAATAGTATGTTGACATAACAGTCGACATTTTATTTTAAATTTTATGCAAATTTTATACATTACTTAAACATTTAATGTAACAAAAATCTGAATTTTTTGTAATAAAAATTCTATAATAAAAGTAAGAGTACAATTTATATATAAAAAATTTGACTACATGACAAGCACTTAAATACTGATTTCAATGTCTTTAAATCTAATTATTATAAAGTTTAGATATATTTTATTAAGTTAAGATATACTCTTATTCTATTAAAAAATTTTAATGTACTGAACAAAAGGCACACTTTATGCTTACGACTCAGTCAACCACTTGTGGCAAGATAATTTATAATAACAATTAAGTTCAAATGTAAAATTCAAATTCAAATAAATTTGTAGCAATAAATTGACTAACCAACTTTGCATTAAATTGATTAAAACTTAATCGGCATGGAATTCAACTATCAGAAATTATAATGCAAGACTGAAGACTAAATTTTATCCTATCTGGCAACCTAGTAACATGGCCTTTAAAGGAAAAACACGGTTTGTTTTACAAACTGAAAATTTCATTTTGATTTTGGTGGGAAAACGGATGGCGAAATTGACAGTAAAGATCCCAAACATAAAAAAAAAAAAAAAAAAAAAAAAACCTCTGGTTACAAAATAAAAGAACGTTACATTATACTTTGTTTCCTGATTAATTACTCACTACATGAAAAAGTGTAATGCATTTTTTGCATTTTTGTTTGCATCATATACAAATTATTTATTTTATTTAAATGCTGTCCAAAACTGAACAGGATTTTGCAAACATATTGACCATATTTTTCGACCTATAGATGCAACACTTCTACGCTTCAGAAGTAAGATTTAGAATTAAGAAATATGAAGAGAGAACAGTATTTATGAACAGAAAATAAATATATATGCTGGCTAGTAGAAAGATGCCTTCATAAAGGACATTTTAAGGGAAAATGGCTCAGATTCACATTGCATGTAAGGAAACCCCCCAAAACTCCCATATAGCCATCCTGAACTACCACTGTTCAGTGGCTTATCACTCCACCACTAGTGGATTCCAATGACTGTTAGAATCTTTCACGGAAATCATCAGTTATGATAATTGTTGTTGTGTATGATTACCATTGGTACAAAATTTACTTATTATGATAATTTTAGCTTTTAAATTATATTCATAAATTAAAAATATATAAAATATCTAGAAAATCTAATTCACCAATGGAAGATATTTATTGAATAATTTGGTTGCAGAAAAATTTAAAGTGTGATTTTCGGACAAACAATGCTGGGCAACAGAAGACCTCAGTGTTTCCTTTTTTCTATCATATGCCTCACGTTCCTTAACGCGAAATTTCAAGGCTCTCTTAGTTTGACCAATGTCATTTAAACCATACTGGCAAGGAATTCTGTAAATACCCGGGAATTCATATCCGGAATGGAATCCTTGAGTATGGAACTCGGAATTTTATTGATGGGAGAATAAACGACCCGGAAGTTAAATTTCTGTAAAATACGTGCAATTTTATAGCTAATTGATGGAAAGAAGGGAATGACAACAGATTCTTATAATCTTCTAAAACAAGAGTGTGCCTTTTAGTGCGCTGAGATGAGAATTTTTTAACTGCTTGATTAATAATGCTGGGTGAAAAGCCCCTATCAATAGCTACTGCTTTTTAGTTAATTACAGAATAATTTTTTCAAAGTTAAATCGTTGGTAACAAGAGAAAATCTGCTGATGCAGAAGTAAATTGCAAAGTCTTTGAATATAACTGTAGCAACAATAAATAAAGTAATAAACCAAGAATTACAACTTAAAAACGCTAAAATCCATTTTTTAATCCCAATGACTTTCAAAGGAGGAAACTTCATCAAGGCAAAGCAGCGAATTATAATTCGAAAAGTGCACTGCATTAATTGAAAAAATGAAGACTGGTACAACTACTGCACAAGGTATTCCTGCTAAGTCCTCTGATATTTCACTTATTGACTATTGCGCCTTCTGTCTCTCGAAAAGAGCTCCTTCTAAGCCCAATCTCATCCCGATGGATGAACTAAGGAAAGGAGTAGAAGAGGAAAGGAAATCTATACTCCAGGGAATTTTATGAAAAGCTCTTCTATCATGAATTTCACGATGCAGACTTTTAGCTTAGAAAATTCTATCAGATTGAACATTTTAAACATTAATTAAACAACCCAGAATTCATTCTAAAATTGAGCAAACATCCTCTGTAGTTTGGTATCTATTCCAGAAGTTACACTAACAAGAAACGCTATATCATCCAATCAACGTCAACTACTTGAATTCTGAAAATCACATATTTTGATATTACTGATGATTCCTTGTATAAGAGATATTTTTCTTCTGATATTTCTAGAGCATTAGACTCGTATTCAGAAGATTCTAATTCGATTTTACACAATGAGCATAATGTAGCAGAGTGCAATGTATATCGAATCTCAATTTATCCTTATAAATGATTTCAACTATCATATCATAAAGCTTTCATATATAAACAATAAATTCGATACTTACTTGTGTTATTTCCATTTCTGACGCCAAATTCTCTGAAAAGAAATTTCAGGAAATCTTTTCCAATCTTAAAATCTTCTGGATCTATGCTGCTCGAGCGGTCGATCAATATCACCAATTCCAACCCCTCCTTCAGTGATTTGCGATCCAGCTCCTTTGGAAGAATACCTAGCAAAGGAAATAAATAGTATTAATTAATATAACGGAAATAGTTTAATTGTACATAACTGTTAAAATCTACAAAAGACAGAATTTCGGATATATAAAATATCCATGTAAAAATTTTTGAAATATCTGCTTGCCTTTATTGTTTCTGCGGATTGTTGTAATGTTTCGTATTGTTTTTGTTTCATTATTTGTTAAACTTAAGGTGAAAACATTATTACTCTTTTCCTACGATTAAATTTGTGGCCGCTATTTTGTGCGCAAGTTCTTATTTATTGTATAAAATTGCACATCTTAGATTTCTTTAAACAGTATAAATAGCTCAAGTAAAACACAAGATACAAATGCAACTTCTGTACAGGAACTCTTCGTTCCTGAAGATAGGTCGTCATGCAAAATATTCGTAAACATTAAAAAAGCATTTTCCCCATAAGATTCAATAAAAAATGAATTAATCTGTTTCCAAATCCCGGATCCCAAGTGATTGCTTGAAAAAGAATAATTTGAATATAAGTTATTAATGCAGAAGTGATGGAATTCATTAAATCTAACAAATACACAATATTAACTGTAATATACAATATTTAACTGAATATATAAAAAGTATGACAACTTGAATTGCATTTTACCGTATGCGTCATAAATAGAAAACGGTGAAGAAACCAAAAAACAAAATGTTATTGTTTGAAGGGAAATCCTACTTCAAAAGAAAAAAAAATATATATATATATATATATATATATCAGATAACTACGTAGCTACTGTTTACTCCGTTTCTTTAGCCCAAAAGGGGCTATTAATCTCGAAATGGGCTTTCACATTGGTTCATCACAAACGGCCTACCATTTTTCGAAATGTTGTTACCAAATATTATTCCCTTGTATTATTTTTTAAACAGTTAAGTAATGCAGAATTTGCATGTATGTTTGTTCCTCGCATTGTGAAAAAGCGATGGTATCTAGAACTATCCAATTTTGAATAACGTAGTCCTCCACCCGAACATCTGCATCTGGAAGCATAAATTTTGAACTTAGGCTTTGTTTTATTATTTATTTCACATTTCGTAAAACGTCAATGAATTTTTTATTAACAAACTCAGCGATCTAAAGGAGAACAGGGGAAGCAATTTTCGAAATAAAACATTTTTACATCCAGCGAGCAATACTGTCGCCATTCGGAGAAATGTAAGATTTTATCTTACAGTTTTAATTAACAAACTCGGGTATGTGAAAGTAATGTCTTGCCCTGCCCGGAAGTAAAATATTTTAATCTTCCACGTGCCAGTGAGTTGTGATTCGGTAAAGCCTAAAACCTGAAACTGTTAGAGGGATACAATGTACGATGAATAAGGAAGAAATTCTTCGTCAACAGGAAAACAAGAAAATAGGCCTGGCATTCGCAAATTCTGTGTTGCAAAAAAATTTATCATATTGGAATAATGTTATAGATTCAGACGAGTCAAAATTTAATATATTTGGATCCGATGTTCAAATCACTACTTGGAGAAAGCCGACTGAAGAAATGAATCCGAAAAATTTATTGGGAATGCTCCGCTGCTTCTGGTATAGAAAAGTTAGTTTTTTTTTAGAAAATAATCGATGTTCTTAAATATATAAAAACTCTTAAATGAAACTTAAAACCTTCTGCAAGAGAACTTCAAGCGCAGAATAAATTTAAGTTCTATCAGGATAAGCATCCTTAACACACAGCCCTAAATGTTCGCTTGCTGTTACTCTACAACTATACCAGGGCTTAATTTCTATGATAAGAAGTGCCGGAGCCCTATGGAAGACCGTCAGCAAAGAGGAACAAGAGTAAATAAATAAATAAAATGACTATTAAACTCATTAATAATTTTAAAATTAAATAGTTAATTACTATCAAATTAATTAATGGCTATTTAATTAATGTTTATAAATTGTTAGTTAATCAATAATTATTACATAATTAAATTGATAATTATTAGATAATTAATTTTTAATTATTGAAATAATTAAAGATTGAAGTAATTAAATAATTAAAATTAAGTAAAATGTAAAGAGATAAATTGAAATTTAATAAGCGATTTTTAATATAAATAATTTAATAAGCGATTAAAATAAAATTTTCGAGATAAAATTTCTACTGAAATTGTTATTTAATTACATAAAAGAAGTGCCGCAGTCTTCTTATTGAGGGCTCCGGTGCGCTCCGTCTAGAATTATGATTTATTTAAAAAATTAAGAAGCACCGGAGCCGAAATCCGGAGGGCTCCGGCCCAATTTAAGCTCTGATCGTAAGGGGGGCAGTTCTTTTATCATCACAAAAATTAAATATACTTAAAGTATAGCTGATGAAAATTCCAGGGCGAAACAGAATGGGGTTATGAGTGGGTGGTAACAAAAAATGAGGGGAATCTTGGTGAGAGAGAAAGTTTTCTTTGACCGCGGCTCTTTGCTGATATAATTATAGCCATCAAGCAGATGTCTGTCAGGGGAAAAATGAGTCCTGAAGTCCTAAGGATGAATGTAAAGTTGCTGGTTACGCTCCCCCCCCATTAGTGGATACTGGGGAAAGACTATGTATAGGACGTGCTTGAGCAGTTTATCTCAATATTTCACTCTTATTGTACTCGCTGTCACTTAACGCACATTTAAGAACACAAATTTTCCTTCCTGGATAACTAACTGTAAGCATCGATAACAATACACTAGATATGATGGCACGGCGAGAAATTTACGCGTTCCTAAACAAACTCCCCCAAATTTATTGCCCTCCTTAAAGGGAAAAGTTTCCGCATGTGAGTGAGGGAACTTTACTTGTACGTCTCATGTTCTCATGAGTTCGTATTTCTAGGAAAATAGAGTAATGCAAGGTCTGCTTACTGTTAAACTAAAACGTTAGGAATTCTAATTTTTTCCCCTTTAAATTGTAGTTCAGTTTTCATAAAAAGAAGTACCGGAGCTCATCTTATTTAGGGCTCCGGTGCGCTCTGGCTAAAATTGTAATTTATCTTAAAAACTGAGAAGTACCGGAGCCGCGCTCCGGTGGGCTCCGGCGCAATTTAAGCACTGACCTATACTGAAGTTATCAAAACTGTTCCTTACTCTCCGAACTTAAATCTTATCGAACATACCGGGTGGGTATAAAATAAGTATCTCTATTTGGAGCTGTCTGTAGCTTGAAAGAATAATCCGAATGAAACCAAAATCGGTACACATACTAATCGAGAACTGCGAAGAAGAATGAAATAATAATAATAATAATAAAATTAAAAATTAGTAGCAAAAATCACCGACAGTCCCCGACGCTTTAGAATGTATAATGTGTAATACACGAACAAAGAATGAAGGCGTAAAACCAGATGACATACCTAATTTATTGAAAAATGTAGCAGATAATGTGATAACGCTTGCGCATGGCGATGCAGATCAAGTTCAGATTCCACATGGCTATTGAGCCGGAAGACAATCCAGGCGCTGCGCTAAGTTCTCAACTGCGGAATATAATGCATCAGAAGTAATGTTTCACACAATGGCTGTGTTACGCGATCTTTTAGGTCATTGTGGTTTGCGACACTTCCAAGGTACCCATTACATTTTTAGTAAACCTAAAGCCAAAAATCACATGGCCTTAAATCAAGGGATCAAGGAGGCCATGCCATACCAAAATACCGACTTAGTACTCTATAATCTGTGAAGTGTTGCCATAAGAACTGTTGTACTGATCGCCCAATATGGAGTAAGGCTCCATCGTGCATAAAAACCGGTTCAGTAAGACATTGTATTTGCTGCAGTTGAGGAACTACGAATGTTTGCAACATGTGCGGGTATCGTTGTGTAGTAACCGAACATGTTGATGGCCGTAACTACTTAAATAAATAAGGACAAAGGATGAAATTTGCCGTAAAGCCACACGATACTGTGAGGCTTGGAAAGTGGAGGGGGATTTTCCCTTATTTTTTTCATAGCGTAATCTTATCATTCTCTTAGTGTTACCAAAATAGTTATGGACAAAGGTGATCACATTAAGCAGCACCTAATGTGTGTATATATTTAATATTTAAAATAAATTCGAAAGTAAAGGTCTTTTGTAGCTTAATTCAAAATAAAATGTCTTAGGTACTCCCCTTGTGGTATTGTAAAATGTAGAACTAAGCTTATGGTCCAGTAAAGTAGTACAAACTCAAATTGTATGTGAGCCAGATGTACGATCTGAAAACAGCTAATGCACCAGATTTTTTTAACAACATTTTTTGAGCAATTTTTATTAACAATATTGAACATTTTTTATTAACAAAATAAAAAAAAATTAAATCAGTTCTAAATGTCGTTTAGCAAATATTTCTCAAAAACATGCATAAACAGTAATAATAATAATATCTCACAGGAATAAAACTGAAATTTATATATTTTTTCTTATCTGAAGTTTAAAGTTTAGTACCTCCAGCATGTTTGTGATAGTTGCACTTTGTAATTGAAATATACGGACGTTAAAATATTAAATTCTCTGACTAACATTTCTTTCAATAAATTCTAACATGTTTAATTAATCATTAAATAACTTAATCTAAAACTAAAAAAAATATGAAAACTTTTTAAGTTTTTAGAGGCCATTTTGCAAGAGTGACAATGGCAACTTAAGCTGTTTATCTTATCAATTAAATTTTTCTTTGTAGCATAAGTAAAAATACATATGTCTGTATGTCAATTATCATAAACTTCATTATTTCTTATTAAGCTTGCCACTTGATGATGGCGTTTCGATTCTGATAAAGTTTGTAGCCTTGGACGTCGGCTCTAAGCATTTTCGCCGACCAATGCAATCTCTGTGGATCCTATATTCTGCTACCTTGCCCCTTCCTGAATTCAAAATAGTTTGCCACCCTTAAATTCTGCTGCCTTGTGCCTCCTCTAAATTCTAAAAATTTTAACATCCCTAAATTTGCTCTTCGTTATTTCTCTTTAAATGCTAAAAATTTTGTCACCTGTACATTCTGCCCGCCCCCCCCCGGCAGAATGTAC